GGGGGGTAAACACCTTTGAATTCCATTTAAGTACACATTTCTGTGTGGATTTTTATTGAAATTCTTTGATAAAAGGGATACAAAAAAGTACATATTGTAGATTGTAGTTTCCAAGGACACCCAGTTTTGGAAGTCCCCAAATTTTGACAACTATTTTCTAGTCTATTTAACTGCTGACACGAGGGGATCCCCACCTCCTTCAATTGCAAGTATCTTAATTTCTAATTAAGATAGATAGATATCTCTCGACAGACAAGACAGTGAACACACTTTAAGAGGAAAAAAAAGACGAAAGCCTGCTTCTACAGTGCCGCGATACAAATATAGCATCTTGGTATACCATAGCTTGGCCTACTCCCCTCGCATTATTCTCTCTTTCGACGACCTCTCCAATCCTGACTCCTACTCTCCATCTTCCCCAGAGACAGGGACAAGGAGATACATGGTCACTACTGGTCTTCTCCCCGACCTGGCCCCCATCCTCTTATGCGGAATCAGGCGAGGGAAATGTAAAAGGCTCTCAACTGACTGCATCTCTTATGCATGAGTCCAAAACCCCTCTCTTGTCCGAACCCCTCTCTTCTACTAGGGCAGACCAATGTAATGCGCCTTTTCAGCGTGTTCTTCGTTCGCCTAATTTTTCCAGTCTATTGGCTTTCCCTTTCTTTTTTATCTCCCTCACTCCCCCTTCTTCTCTCTCTCGCTTTCTCTCTCTCTCTCTCTCTCTCTCTCTCTCTCTCTCTCTCTCTCTATCTCTCTCTCTGTCTCTCTCTCTGTCTCTCTGTCTCTCTGTCTCTCTGTCTCTCTCTCTCTCTCTCTCTCTCTCTGTCTCTCTCTCTCTCTCTCTCTCTCACCCGCGGCTTGAAGCACCAAAACATCGTTTGAAACTTTTTTTAAAAAGTGGATCAATAATAATATAATAATAATATTATTATAACTTTTGCTGCTTTGCTCACCCAGTACCTGCTACCTAGTAAGAAAAATAGGTAAAACGTTTATTCTTTCGATCTGAAAGTAATGTGTTTAAGAAAGGTTTGTCTGGGTAGCGGTGAAATGAAGAGGTTAGCTCAACTTTGCATAAGAACAACACAACTACAATACACACACAAACTCACACAGTCATACACGAAGACATACACAGAAACATAAACACACAGACAAACACACACACACAAACACACACACACACAAACAAACACATATAAGTAACACCCCCCCCCCCCGCGCCACACACACACACACACACTCACAGACACACACACACGCAGACATACACTGCCCAAACAGCTAAGAGTTTTCGAACAGCAACATAAACCGTGATTAAAGATGTTTCACGCCCACACCAACACTATTAGGATAATTCAGGGGGGGGGGGCTGCTTGGACCATGCCTGTCAAGGCCACCCCCCCTCCCCCAGACTGAGAGGGATAAGACATCATGGGAGGAAGACTGACATAATCGATAAAGGGCGTTATTCTCCCCATACGGGAAGCCATCTAAGGGTTGGTGCTTCGACGGCGAAGTGCGTAACTGCATACTCTGGTATATTTCTATTTGTGTTTGTCTCAGTATCAGTTTTACAAAGCGAGCAATACAGTTAAGTCATATAAGTGCCGAAGATTAGAGGTGTTACAAGAGTAACAAACACAAAAATTAAGGAGGAGAGATCCCGACGATGGACGTTTGGATGGAAAGGAGTAAACCGCACCAAAGCACCCGCCAACCATCCACATGACTGTCTGACTTTGCAGAAATTGTAATCCCAGGAGATGAGACACACCCAGCAACTACTACTTGGGGTGGGTCGCTCTGTCTTAAAACACAACCCTCAAATTGGCAAGAAGAGGGCGTGGCAGCAAAGCCGAGGCTATAGCTTTCCCGTGGATTGTCTGAGGACAGCTACTAATTTCCTGACAGTCGTCGTTTGTTTAGTAGTCTGTCTCGACCATTCTTTCTGTCTAAATTGGAACTGTAGCTGGACAAGGAAGGGTGGATAAAAACAGAGGTGTCTTGGTGTCGCCTGAGTCTGGCGATTGACGATCAGACTCAGTCGGCCAGGAGGATACGAAGTGAGAGAAAAAAAATAAAGAAAAAAAAATTAGGGAAGTCGGGACACATGGAGAAACGATCAAGGATGGGAGTAAGGAGTGTGTCTTATTTTTCCTTTGG